TGCAGCGGGAGCCGCAGCGGGAAGGGAAGCGCCGGCCCTCTGAGACTGGGAGAAAACCAGCGGCGGAATATTTTGTCACAGATGACCTGAGGAAAGGAAAAAGAGCATGTTGTTGGCCTTTAGGAACTGGAACTAATGCCTTGCTGCTCCTCTGGGGCTGTAGCTAGGTATCCTGCATCAGCAGAGTCCAAAGTGCCTGCGGCCATTCTAAGAACACGATACAGAAGAGGCACTTGTACCACGGCGCTCTCTAGCTGAGCACTCCCCCTTTGCTGCAAGTGGTGAAGGCGAGGGAAGGGGAGAACCGGGCAAAAGGGAGCTGGGCTGTGTCCCCCAGCCTTTCTGCATGTCTGCAGTGCTACTTAGGTGGGTTGCATCCCACCTCCTGCCACCACATCTGCATGCAACTTAGGTAGGGTGGAGAAGAACCCCCCAGTTTGCAGGTAGACAGCCATGACTTTGCCATGAGTGGTGACAGGAATTATAACTAACCCCCTTCCACTCTCCATGCCAGTGGATTGGCATGGAAATAAGGCAAATAAGTGCTAGAGAATATCAAGATCTGTCTGCATGCCCCGAGATGGGATTTCTGAATGAGAATGGCAGTTATGTGGCCACATTTGGAAAGGTGTCTATCTTCCCTCGGTGTTCTAGTGCATAACACCTTTTGTTGTCAATGTGATTTTAAAAGAAATTGATGCATAAAGCAGCTGTGTCTACTCACTTGCAAGTTGTTATTGGCTCTCTGTGCTCCACATTTTCTGATTTTCAGATCACATTTTGAAAAGCAATCAAAAAAATTGCAATCTTCATCTGATGTACAGTTCTGTTCAAGGATGTCCTTCATTTTGGGTTCAAAAAAGGCCATATCCACATCAATGGCTACAACCTGTGGATCAAAACAACTTATCAAGCCTGGCACAGCACATACTCTGGGATAGCAAACATTCCTTCACTATTTTCTCTTGGAAATGCTGTGCTGAGAGCATCTGCCAATACAGAACTGGGATCACAGTGCAAGGGCTTTCTTGTGCTTAACTGAGCAGCAGCAGTCATAGGAATAGCACTTTTTAATCAAAAACAAACAATGCTTAAGACCCCAAGAAAGGCAAAATTATTTATGTACAATCCCTGGAGTCAATTGGATTGATTCCTCTTAAACCAGGACTAAAAAGTTTGAGGACTTGTTGTATTTTATGCAGATGGCAACTCAACCTTTTAATTATATGACGGTCAAGAATTATCCGGGGGCCAGAATGATTTCACAATCTGCCTCTTAGCCTGGCTGTTGGTCACCCTGACTTTAATGCTACGGCGAGGAGCAGTGTGACATGCACAGCTTTCTGCACCTGGCACGGGCTGCCCCGATCCTGTCATTTCATTCAGTGGATCTGCATCTGTGCAGCTGCAGAAATAACTCCCTGAGGTTGTTTAAGTCGGGACTGGCTTTGTCCGCTCCTGTTGGCTGCAGCTTTCTTCATTTAGCATGCATGGTTCTTACTCCACTTGCCCAAAAGCAAGTCCCTAGCAGGGTTCAGTCAGCAGTTGGTCTCAGCCAATGAGTGAGGACTGAAGAGACAAATCACTTTTTTTTTGTCCTGGTATAAGCTCACAAAATACTGCAGGAGCGGCACTGCAGAGCTGTGCTGGATTCAAAACTGTTCTGTGAAGGAAGAGCTATAGTCTCAGTTTCTATCAATGTCACTCCACCCATGGATACTCAAAGAAATCACAGAAATAAACAGGGAAAGAAAGGAAAAGAATGATATGCTGGCAGTTGCTTGATGTGAGAAAAACAGGATGAACAAAATGAAAATCACCCTTCGGCTCTATGAATGCAGCAGTCAATGCCTGGTGCTTGGCATTTAATAGCCTGAACCTTGACTCTGCCGCAGCTAAGGTAAATTTGCATGGAGGGAAATGTTTGGGGTCTGAGCAAAGCAGATTTACTTGAGCTCAAGTGATATTCTCGTGTTTAACATTCAGCGTCTCAAATAACTTGGGAAGCTGAACTGCATGGCTGGAGCAGCAACTGGATGAACCCCAGGAACTAAAGATGTCTGGCCTGGTAGAAGGCCAAGCAAAACTTCTTTAGGCAAAGGAGAAAACAGGGTTTAATCTTTATTTTGTTTTGCTCTCCCTTGTCCAGGGAAAATCGTAAAGTGATGAAGCATAGCTTAAAAACTCAAGTATTTTTAAACTTCTTGGAGAGCATGATCATCATCATGTAGCCTGGGAAATTTCACACATTTGGACAAGCAAATTTTTTTTTCTTTCTTTCTTTCCTGAAGATTTCTGCAGTTTTGCTGATAAATTCTTTGGAGACCCTTGTGTCTGCCCTTGGTGTATTTGGGGCAAGGGCAGGGTGAGCAGGCAGTAAAAGGGATGTGGCATTCCCCAAGACCCTGATCATTAACACCCTGGTTAATGTCTCTGCTGACACTGGGCACCTTTGAGGCTCTGTTCTGCTACACAGAACAGCCCTGGCTTTTAAACATGCAGCCGCCAAAGGGGCCAGGGGCTTCACTGCAGATCACAAAAACGTGCACAAAAATGCGCAGGCGCCCAGCCAGGCTCTATGAGGATAGAATAGAATTCACAGAATTCATAGAATGCTTAAGGTCAGAAGGAACCTCTAGAGGTCATCTAGTCCAACCCCCCTGCACATGCAGGGTCACCTAGAGCACATGGCACAGGACTTCGTCCAGCGGGTTTGGAAGATCTCCAGAGAAGGAGACTCCACAACCCCACTGGGCAGTCTGTAAATGCAGGATGCAGCTGAGTGATAGTCCAGCTGTAATTGATAACCTGTAACTGAACGGTTTAGCGAGCTTTGTTATAGTGGTAAACAACAATGGAGGGGTATGAAGTCCTGAGGAAGGAAACAATTTTACTCCTGATTTAATATAAAGTTCATGTTAAAGGTGCCGTAACCTCTCTGATTCTCCCCGAGGTGCTGTTGAAAGCGGAATCACCCCTGGAATAAGCATCTCCACCCAGGTTTCCTCCCAGCTCTGCCCCTTCCACGGCCCCATAGCGGCTTCATGTTCCCCCAGGTGACCTGTGACAGCAGCAGGAGCAGCACTGGAGGCTGCGGTGAGAGTCGGAGGTAGCCTCACCATTCGGAGAAGTGCATGAGAGTGGGAGAAGGGAGACTGCCCTTGTCCTGTCTCTGTTAGGGAACTGACTGGAAAACAGTCGAGAGTTTTTACTTCCTGTTCTCCATCCATCTTCACTCATCAGAAGCAGTATTTATTTCCTCCTTCCTTCTTCTGAATGTGTAGCTCCTGTCTGCCCACCTCATGCAGGGATAGCAGGAGGCACATTACCTCATGTCTGCAAGGTACAGCCAGAACACCCAGGAGGGAGAGAGGTAGCATCTCATATTTTTCTGTCATTAATTCTCCTAGAAAACACTGAAGTAAAATGTTTTCCTGCTCCATGGGGTGTCTGCAGTCCCTGCAGACCTAGACGTCACAGGAGGATCCTGGAGAACTGCTCCTCACTAAAAGGATTTGTGAGGGAAGATGCACCCAACTCTTTCTCTTCTAAATGCCATCTCCTCTGAGTAGGTAGTAGAACAGATGCTCTAGTGTGTGCTCAGCCATGTCCAGTAATAGCCTTGTGTGACTAAGGTAAGCGAAGCCTGTCCTGAAGAACCTCTGCCATATCTTGATCTCTACAACTCCCTGAAAGCAGAGTGTCGATCTCTTCTCCAGAATAACTACAGATAGGACAAGAGGAAATGACCTCAAGTTGTGCCAGGGCAGGTTCAGGTTAGATATTAGGAAGAATTTTTACACAGAAAGAGTGGTGAAGCATTAGGGCAGGCTGCCCAGGGAAGTGGTGGAGTCACCATCCCTGGCAGTGTTCAAGAAACGTGTGGATGAGGCACTTAGGACATGGGTTAGCAGATAGAGTGTCGAAGGGTTTACAGTTGGACTTGATGATCTTGAAGGTCTTTTCCAACCATAGTGAATCTGTGATTCTGTGATCTCATGCTGCCTGAACACTGCTGTGCCTTTTCTGCTATCTTTGCTACAGTTCCCCACCCATTCCCTGCTCTCCTGCTGCACTGCACCTGAATAAACAATGTTAAGTGAGTGGACGGGTGAGGGGGAAGCACATTAATTGCTTTTAATGACTACGTGTTTAGGTGAGATTTGTCCAGGACTCTAAAGGTACAAATACTATATTAACACTCAGTGAGTAGCAATTATTATTCAAGTTCCTGGAGATATTTTATGTTCACTCACAGTGCACAAACTCCACTGATGTCGTTGCAAATTGTGAGTCTGATTCAAATGCTTATTGCACAGTGGCTCCAGTCCATGCACAGAATTCCCACTGCAATCAGTGGAATTCCTCTCTGCAGAGTGAATGCAGGATATATTCAGCAATACAGTGGTGGACCATATTACTATTTAAAAATATTAAATTTGGGGAGACAGCTGTACAATGAAAAGTCAAACAGTACTAGTACCAGCGAGTTTTATGTCTTTGTCCTTTAATGATTTCCAGACCAAATTTGCTCAGCACTAAAGCAGAAAGATGTGTGTGTTCTCTGTGTGTGTGAGTCCCCTCATGTCAAACCAGAGAATTTAGCTTTAGCTTTGAAATTCAAAGTTTCTCCTTTCAGCCTCCCTACTGGAAATAATCGCTGTGGCTCATGGACAGCTTCTGAGATCTCCTTGCCCTTGGAGCCACTCTTTGCCAGATCCAATGGACCCTGTTGGTCTCAGTGCATTTGAGCAGGGAAACAATTCAGAAGGGAATAAACAGCTCCTCTTAATGCAAGCAGCAGGACCCAGCACTCTGAACTGTCACTGCAGATATTACAAAGGGGAAAAGCAACAAAACTCGCATGCCACTTTTAAGAGAGTTGGTTTTGCAAGAACTTGGCCAAGATCTCTGTGAGGAAGAAAGAATGATTTTTACACAGCCACTTTTCAGACTAGAATTTGACCAGATTGCTGCAACACACCCAACTTACCGTGAGGTCTTGCCTGATAGCAAAATTTTCTGGTTTGATGTCACACAAGTGCAGTCGATGAGAGAAATCATTGTCAAAATGCTGCACCATATCCAGAAAGCTGAGTGCAATGTCGATGATGGCTCTCCCCCTGCTTTGGCTGCCAGCAAGGGAGGGACCAACCACATTTTCCAAGGGAAAAAGAGTTTTGTGCCAGGCATGTCCAGCTGTGAGATACTCCACAGCATAGAAATGTCCACAGGAGCCAATAATGCGTAGCACGTGTTTGCTGAAGTCTTGCAGTACACTGAAGTAGATATACTCTTCCTGCTGGAGCAAGGACCACATGCTGGCCACCTGTGCTTTCCAGTGTGGCCCCTTCCTCCTCGTCCACAGGGGCCCCATGGTGTTGTTAGATAGCTCTAGCCCCAGGACATTTTTGACTTCCAGGGCTACCATCAGCAGAAGCTCTGTTTCAGGAATGTCCTGTGTCTCCATCTCCTCTAGCATACTGAGGTGCTGGTAGCTAGAGAAGATTTCCTTTTTGGATTTCAGGATGATGGGCTGGCCTCTCCAGTCAGCCTGGATGACCTTCTTACCTCTGTCATAGTACAGGCAGTGTTTGTATACCAGCTTCTGTGCCACGCACAAGTCTTCACAGAGGTCACCAGTCAGGGCTCCACTGCTGTAGTCCAGACACTAGAACAAAGAACAGAGTGTTCATAGCAGGACCACATGCCCCTGTACCACTTAGAAGAACCTCAGAGAAGCAGCAACAGCTCAGACCTCAGAAGGGTCTCGCTGCGGCTGTGGGACCACAAGTACTCACCTTCCACAGCTGCCACCAGATACAGCGTGGGTTTTGTTGTTGTTATTTGCTATTCAGAATGTTCTAAGTTCCACAGGAACTTAAGGAAAAATTTTTTAACAGTGAGGGTGACAGAGCACTGGAACAGTCTGCCCAGAGAGGTTGTGGAGTCTCCTTCTCTGGAGATCTTCAAAACCCACTTGGATGCAGTCCTGTGCCACGTGCTTTAGGTGACCCTGCGTATGCAGGGGTGTTGGACTAGATGATGTCTAGAGATCCCTTCCAACCCTAAGCATTCTATGATTCTAGAGATCCAGGGAGAGTCTCACTTCACAACATGGATTTTGGCGATTGCGCAAGGATCTTTTTTTTTCTTGGGCAAGGAAGTGAATTAGGTGACCTGTTACTCTCAAATTCTTGCCCCCGCCTGGATGCAACCCTGTGCCACATGCTCTAGGTGTCCCTACTGGAGCAGGGGGCTTGGACTAGATGACGCCTAGGGGGCCCTTCCAACCTCAGCCATTTCGTGATTCTCTCATAGGAGTTTGGGGGACGAGGCTTTCCATACACTTTGCTGCACAGAGATTCTGGTGTGCCATGCTTTAGAGCACAGGGGATAACTTCCAGTGCAAGTCAGAACCTTCCTAGGAGGTTCAGAGCAGTGTAACTTACCTCCCACTTAAACTCAAGGATACCTGGATTGCCGAATACCTCAGCAATCTCTGTATTTCCACCTTACACTCAGCATGCCCTCAATGAAGCACGAAGAACCTCCTTCTCCACAAGTGGTAAACAGAGAGTTTGCACTCAAGGCACTTTGGGTCAAGAACTTTCAGAACTTTTAAACTTAAATTCTGTAGGACAACATGACATTTTTAGGTTATATATATACATATATATATACTTACCAGAAGCTCCTGTGGCATTTTAATATCAAGTGTATAAAGAGTTAATCTTTTAATTGAAAAAAAAAAGCTGTCCATGGAAACATGGGAACTACTGCTTCATAGTTTAGTGGTCACTGTAAATTCGTAAAAGAACTACAAAGATTTCCCCACCAATCCTTCCAATCCTTCCCACCCGTAATTATTTCCATACCATCTCTTCCAAACTGTAGGCAGTTGATATATTCCTGTGGGCATTCAGAAGTGCAGCTGCAGGGACTGCTCTGGACAAATCAGTAAAGAGGATGATCAGAGGTCTCGGGCGGATGGGGAATAGACTGTGGCGGAGGAGAAAGCCAAACACCTGGGAGGCAGCTTGACAGCATCAGCCTTCTTCTCAATTGCTTTCTGGCACTTGCATTTTTATTTAAACAAGTTGGCAGCTCCCTCTGCTTGTGGGATACTTGCAATGGCTGCTTGGCCCCACCTCATTTGTAACTTGCTGTTACAGGCACAGCAAGCACAAACATAGAGATTCGAGGGATGTATTTTGTTAATATAGCCCCTGAGGTGTGCAACAAGGAAATGCTTTCTGATGCCAGGTAATACTTGGAGTTTAACCTTAAGAAAGACTTTGGGGATGGGTGCTGGATTCAATCTAAAATTTGGGAATGGTGCAGGAAATGGCGATAAATTGGTTAAAATATCTCACAGAGAGCAGTTCAGAGAGGCAAAATATGAAAGCTTCAAAGCTGTTGTAGTCCCAAGGAAAATGGTCAGTGCCAGCATGGGGACCAGGGCTGGCCAACGCTGACATGCTCAGTGTGACTCCGAGTCCAAGGTCACACACACATCTGCATCCACAGGCACATCAGGAGGGTAAAGCGAGTTCCCTGGGCTGACCAGGCTTCAGAAAGAAACATGAGGTTCTGAATGGAAGTACTTCTTACCACCTAGTGCTCTATTAGAAAGAAGATATTGAAGAGAAGAAATTGTGGGGGAGGTTGGTTCAGAGCTTAAGTACAATCAAATTTAAATTCATTACTTTCTAACTATGAAGGCCACAACTTCAAGCAGAAGTTATTCTGCTGCATTAAGATCTCAGGATGTCTCAGCCCTGTAACTGCATCGACAACGGCGAATTCTTGCCCCTGTGGATGACTTCACTGTGGTCCATTATGGACCACGTTCTCTCACAGGAGGCTTCTTCCACCTAGTGCCCAGAAAACATGCAATCGAACATGAGAATATCTTGTGTTGCCATCATGATGTTCTTAATGGCCTTAGTGACAAAAAGTAGCTGCAGAAAAAATAAATCGTCTCAATTTTGTTTCCCAAAGGAGCTGAGTCAATATTGAACCTGCTAAAGGATATATTTAGAGCTGCCTGCTGCTCCATTTGAACCAGAAAATCTTTGATTATTAACTTAATATCTGACAAACACAGAGTCTCCAAATCTGATTCTTCTTTACTGAAATTGCACCATTTTTTGGAAACTGTCATCTGTGAAATGGAAATCAACCAAGAAGATCTTTGTATCACAATGATGAAAGGCAAATTAAACTTCAATAAGCGACATTTCCTCCTGCTCACAGATGCAAGTAAATATTTCAAAATGCTTCATTAAATAATATTAATAAAAATAATATTTTGAGTAATTCAATAATTCCTCTGCTCACAGAAGTTTGACTGGCTTTAAAAAACTTTGTTGTTGTTGTTTTGTTTATTAAAACCTGGAAATTGAGCAAAGCCTAATTTCAACTTTACCTCCTCAGCTGATCAGCCCACAGTGTCCCAATTTTTACTGTTTTATGCTTTGCCTAACACACTGAGTAAGCTTAGCTTATCAACCCTCTCTGTGTAACCCCTACACTGCAGCCCCCAGATCATCAGTGTTTTTGTTCCTTCCCCTTTCTTCTCCATTTCTCCCTGAACAATTTCAGAAGCATCAGAGACATCAGAAGTGGATGCTGGTTCCAATGCTGCCAAACCAGGCAGCATCTGTCCCCTGACTCTTCTTGAATTCATTCAGAAGTTGAATTAGCCTTTGAGGTGCTGCCTGCACCGGTAGTTCATGGGGAAGGAATTATTTGACCCCTTTGTCCTTCCCAAAATTATACTATATTTCAAGGCAGTTTGCCATCTACTTGGCATAGCTTGTAGTCTTTGTTCCCCAACCTATCAGCTTGCATTTTACTGTATTAATTCACATTTTTTGTGGACTGAAACCCTCTCACTAGGTGAATCAGATTACCCTGCAATGAAAAGATAGTCTCTTTGTTATTTTCTAACCCAGCAACCTTTGCATTAACTGCACACTTTACCGGGTACAATTTTGCATCACCAGGGCTACCAATAGAATGAAGAATCAGTTCCCCAAAGAAGTCTTCTAGCAATGGCCCTTCACACCAACATCTCCATATTATGGTTGCACTTTAAGGTCAGCCAATGAAAGACTTTTAAATCTACCTAATGCCTGTGCCCTTCTAATGCCGCTAACTGCCAGGTCTTTTAAACCAAAATATGAATGTGATACTAAGCTAAATGTCTTACGGAAAAGCAGCTACACCACAATAAAAATTCAAACAGAAAAATGATTTGGATTCAGTCATCTGTTTCTGTTTAAATTTCACTACATTATTTTTAAAGTCCTTAGTACACTTACCAAGACAAATTTGAAAGGCTGGCTATGTTTAAATTCGTATAAAAGTGCCTAGTTAAGGTTTATCTCCATTACATTTGTTTACTCTACTGCTCTGTGTGAGGGTCAGGCCAGAGACTGAGTCCTGCCTTGTTGTGAAGTATTTCTCCAATGTAAATGCAACACTGATCAAGGTTTGAGAAAGCTTCAAAATGAAGGTTTTACTCTGGAGAATACAGAAAGTGATCATGATGTGATTTAGTGTGGTTAAAGTAAATGAAAATGAGACTGGTATAGGGAAACACTAGGGTCTTCTGGAGAACTGAAGTTCACCTCTGCAAAATGCCCAGCGGTACTTGGCTTCCCTAGTGTAGATATATCTTCTGCATAGAGGTACGTACTCTAGGAGAAAGAAAATACCCCTTATACATGCACCGTATGGAAGAGTATATAACCATGCAATTTTCACTCACTTGCCTAAAAATGTTTGTCTTCATCCTCTCTCCTACTGGAAATATTGTAGATGGCTAGGGAAAGTTTTTCTTGGAAGTTGGGTTCTGCTTTATAAAACATTTCAGATTCAAGCTATCTGATTATTCTGTAGATGGGTTGTACTTGCTATCACAGTGAAATCCAAATAGTGCTCAGAAGATGCATAAAGAAGCTTTTACCAGGGTGATGAAGAAACACTCCTTTTCTAATACTTCCTTGGGAACAACGACCCCAGTACGTGTCATCGGGGAAAGCTGTTGCTTGCAAACTTTACCATTGGGATTGCAGACTCACCCTTGGGGTCAAAAAACCACAGCATTTTCAGCTGCTGTACCTTGGAGGAAGGTTGTGAACTGAACCTTCAGACCCCACACACTGACAGGGACAGGTTTCCACTCTCATGCCTGAAAGCTATCCCCACTTGGGCTTCTGCTTTCTAAAGCAAAGGGCAGCCACATATCTCTCCCCATCGCTTTACCCACCATTGGGATTGCAGACTCACCCTTGGGGTCAAAAAACCACAGCATTTTCAGCTGCTGTACCTTGGAGGAAGGTTGTGAACTGAACCTTCAGACCCCGCCACAGTCAACACACTGACAGGGACAGGTTTCCACTCTCATGCCTGAAAGCTATCCCCACTTGGGCTTCTGAGGTCGTCAAATGCTTTCTAAAGCGAAGGGCAGCCACGTATCTCTCCCCATCGCTTTACCCGTGGTCACTGTGATGGCAAAGGACGGGGCTCCGTCCTCTCCGGGGTGCCTTGAAGCTCCACATTTCTGTGCTCTTCCTAGCAACACGCAGCTCACTCTTTCTGCAGTAGCCCTGAGCTCGGCAGCGCTCGGCTTCTGAGCTAACTGTCGGGGGAAAAGAAAAGCGAACCTCACCGCCGTTTATAGCGTGCGCTGTCAGGGCTGCTGGCTATAATTAATCTTCCTTTATTATGCAGAATTTAGGAAATTTATGGGCAGCAGCAGCTCGCTATTGTAACAATTGTTAGAATCGTTCCTTGGTCTTTCTGCTTAAAATCTTCATTAAACAACAAAAAGTGCTCGCCCATGTTGTTCCTCTTGTCAAAGTACTGAAATTGCCTTTTCCTACATCATTCTAAACCACTTGATATTTTTTTCTCCTTACCTTTGGACAGGTTTTAATGATTGTTCCCCAACCCTTCCTTGGACTTTGAATAACCGCACTTTGAGCGCCAGCCCCCAACTCCTAGCAGACATAAAGGACACGCTCTAAGCGGCGCAGCCTTTCTTGAGGGTTTTATTATTACTTTCACACACACAAAAGGGGATCCT